TCTTGCCCTAACAAGCTCAATTACTAATACTGCTATTCTAGAGGTAGTTCAGATAACAAGATAATTTTAAAAGCCTTGGAAAATGAGGCATCATTGGTAAAGGAAGAAAACACATTCTACATCTCTTGTTAAGGGAGACATGAGGCTCTTAGATCCCATTAGACAGTCTCAGTAACATTTTTCTAAAATATTAGTTATTACACACACCTGTGTGCAGCAACACACCTGTTATTACCGTTACCAATTTGGTATTAATCCTACACATTCTTACATATAAATTCAGACAAAAGAAGTAAGAAGACAGTCTCCATCAATAATAGTATATCCAGCTTGAAATAAATATAAATAAGCATTTGAAAAATTTGAAATAATTTTGGTTTTCATTTTCCCAAGAAACAAACCAAGAGTTTTGAAGGAAATATTAAAATAAACTATTATGCTACAAGCAGCCTCAACAAAAGGAGAGAAATTCTTTTGTTTTCAGCTCTTCAAGCTCTTTCTTAAGAAGCCAGTGAATAAAATCTAAGCATTTCCTACTTGAATCTAAACCTCCTCAAGATTCTTCAAGTTTTGTAAAAACTCTCTAAATGTAAGCACATTCCCAGAACTGTGAAACAGAAGCATATATGGAAACAAAAAGCCTGAACAGTCTCTGCTGAACTGGCAGAATATCTGTTGTTAAGATGTTAGGCAAAAGGTTCGCTCTTTCTCAGAAGCCAATGTACATCTTTAAAGAGTTCCTGGAACTCAGCGACCCATACTGCTATACATCATACAGGAAGAAACAGACACTCACTCTAGACTGTACCTCCAGCTAATTTTGAAAAAGACTTTAGTATATGAAAGTGCATACAAAACACTTTTCTATAGCCACCACGGATACACTAACCAAACCTGATCTAAATACTAAGATTACTATGCACTGCCACAACACCTTCCAGTTTAGGCAGCATCCAGGAAAAAATATTCTTATTTTTATATATACCTCTCCAAACACTAGTGAAAACCAAATGTACCTGGCTGCTATGCAAATATACATACCGTTCTTCTCCTTGGCTGTAAACTCTGCCATCTGAGAATAAAGCACATCCAAGGAGTGACATGCCAATATACCTTGAACTAGCTTTACCCTGGTAACATAAATGCTTCAGATAGGTCAAAAGAACAATGAACATACACAGTTTAGTTAGAAAACACATAGCAGTTGATTCAGGAAAACACTGTTAACTGCTGCTCAGAGAAAACAAAAGTTCCTATAGGAAAGCAAACAAAGATTCAGTTTGAGATAACTGAGAACATCCGCTGTAGGTGACATCAGTATCTTAACTCCTGGAAAACCGCTGGCTGGAGAGGAACATTAGAGGAAGGAAGAAGAACAGGTAAGTCAAATTTTCACAATTTTGTAGCATAACAAACTAAACTTACCGACAAAGTTAGATGGTAGGTAACACCTACTTATTATTAAGAATGTTTGCTTACGAACTTTGGTACAAACAAAGGATGAATCTACTCAAAAGAAAAGTGCTTAGTTACAAATAATGTATGAAACACTACTGGTCAAAAAATTTATGTACTGTAAAATAATTATTCGACATTCAAGGATCAGGCGCTGAAAACACCACGATAAAAGCCAGAAATACTGTTAAAGGACTATGAGGGGACAACAAAGACCAGCCCAAATCAGCAGTATTGTTCATTCATTTAATATTTAAATGTATAAAAACACACTGTGAGAATATTATTCCCTAATGAACAAATGAGTTTACTTCTGAATCGCATTTTATTTATCACTTGCCACTGCCAAAATTCCTATGCTACACACCTCAAATCAGAATAAACCAGGTCTTTCTAACTGTTCCACAGTTTTTCAACAGCACTTGCTGCAATTGCACAACAGCACTAAAGAGCACTTCAGAGAAAGCAAATCCCACACATACCGTGTCTAGTGATGATCAAGATAATAGAGGTGAGTAGCAAATCAGAAAGCAACTGAAGTATTAAACCCACAAAAACACACCTATCCACACCTGGACTACAGCCACAAACATTACCGAGGGCGTTAGGCCGGAATCCCACAACAGCACCACCCCGAGCCCACTCAGAGCGGGGGCGGCAGAGGGGGCGCTCCAGACCCCAGGGAAATGCACTGCGCACCCGGGGCCACGGGCACACACACGAGAGGAGGGAGGCCACCGGTGCCCTCACAGACGGCCCTTCACCCCGGGCGTGAGGAGCACCTCCCTG